TTTGGGCGCCAGGCCCTCCAAAGGGCCAATCCGGGACCCAAACAGCACGGGCCCAATCCGTCGGGGCTCGCACCAACGTACGGGAGCTCACGCACCGGCGATGAGCCTCCCAACCCGCCCACGGATTCGCACCAGCGTAAGGCCCGAAGGGTCGGTCCTTCCACTAACAGAATCAAAATTATCCAAAGGTCCCAGACACGTAACTTGAACTAAAGGCAGCGAGACGAGACGAGACGCAGCGTCGCCGACGACGTGAAATAGACCGGGCTAGCTCAGTACGCCCAAGCGACCGCGGAGAGGGCGGGGTCCTTTCAGAAAAAGCAAACCAGAGACGGAATTAAATTAATGGCCTATTTATTCCCACAACGAAAAATATAAACTCTAATAATTGCCAAAATGGCCACGGGCGGGCCCACAATCCGGTACCGGCCCGGGCGACGAAACGCGCGCTCGCGCTCAAAGGGACGATGCGCGCGGCGAGGCGCACGGAAATGAGACGGTGGTTTTATAGACAGCCCAAAAGTCAAAAACACGAAATTTAAAAATGCAAAATCCAAAATACCAAAAATGCAAAACGCTAATTAACTTCAATTATAATTAGGCTCGACTACGGGACAAGAATATTAATCCTATTAACAACAACGCGAAAATTAAGAAGGGCATGCACGCAAGAATCTACACGGCACTAAATTAAATTTGGAAATATTACAAGACTAAACTCGCGAAGAAATATTCAAACGGAGAACAGGCGCAAGCAAAATCAATCAAGGTTTACGCGAGTAAGGCAGCAATACACAAAAAAAATACAAGGTAAAGTAGCGCAAGAAAAGGCAGCAAATTCAAAATATCAGCGCAAATCAATTCAAAACGCAAGAAACAAAAGATTTCGGACACATGAAATTTTCATAAATTACACAGGCGCGGACATAATTATAATCCAATAAATTGTATCACATAACGAAACTAATATTTTAATATAATCGAAAATTCGGACATAAATTCATCGGTCGATTTATAACCGGAACCGCTAAATCGAAGGCAGGCACGGTTAAACAAGAAATATTCAGCTCGGAACGGAAGAAAGTTAAAGGGGTTCGCCTATCGCGAAAACGGATTTTAAATCAATGGGATATCGCACTTCGCGAACACAAAATGAAATTAACTGAAGTTCGCCCTTCTCGAAACAGACTGAAATTAACGTGAAGTTCGCACTTCGCGAAACCAAAGGAGTCTAACAGAAATTCGCACTTCGCGAAATAAAAGGGGTTTAACGTGTCGACCGCTCAAAACAGCATTCTCGAGTTCGGGTCGACACGGCTTCTTGATCCGACCGAGGAGAGAGGCAGCAAAAGATAATTTATTTCAAAAAGGTCGCTCCCACGAGACTTTAACCAATTAAACGCGGAAGGGCCGACCGCGTGGCGCGCGGCCCGACGACGGGTTACCCGGGGAAAACGCGAAACAGAAGGAAATTCAACAAAACCGATCTATACAAAATGCAAAGAAAAGGTACTACGCTCGAACCTCGTGCTCGGCGAGTGCGGCGATGCCCTTCGGTGGGTGTCCACCGTCGGCAGCGAGCTTCCCAGGTGTCCTTTCGGAGTGTAGGCAGCGAATGTACGTTGAAGGCAGCGGAGAACTTCGAGGACGTCTGCACGGCTCGACACTCGTAGACCAAGAAGGCCGGGTCTTCGCTGAGGTCCTCCGGGAAGGCTCGACGGCTCCTCTTCGGCGGCTCGACATCCTCGTTGATTGGCCGCCGTCGGCTGCCAAATTGCATCGGCCAATTGACAGTGGTCGCGTTCGAAATTGCCAGGATTTTGGGCGATGACAGCCGCGGCGCAGGTTCGCGCGGATGAAGCGGATCCTGCTGTCCAATCGGGGCGCGTGACGTCATCCGCAGGTCCAGGGACGTATCTAGGAGATACCTCCGGGACTCGGTGGCGCCGGTCCTGGGCTCCTTTGAGCCAAGATTCCTCGTGGCTCTGCCCGGGGGTGCCGACATCCCCTGATGCAACGGCTCCCGGATGAGGGGACCAGTGGGCCCTACCGCCCTGGGGTCACCGCGGCCTGGCCTCGCCGCAGGAGGGCGACGCAATTGGGACCCCCCCCCCCGCCCTTTTATGGACTCCCTAGAGTCAGAGGTCACGGCGGGGGAGTCCACGGCCACCGGCAATGCGCCCTCCTCCCGCCATCATTGAGGGGCCGGAAATCCGGGTACGGACGCGGTGACCCAGCGACGCCGCCATGGGTCGGCACTTGCCGTCAAGCGCGGGGTCACGGGTGGCTCTGTTCGGCCCTACTCCGCGCGGCCCCGGCACCCACGGGCGGCGGCGGGGCGAGGCCTCTCTGCCACCGTTGTCTTCCGCTTCTGTGGTCCCTCGAGGGCGCCCTTGTCCCGCGATGGCTGTTGTCTTCTTGTGCCGCACTCGCCTCCGCGCGAGGCCGTCCTAACGCCTAAGTTATACACAACTTATGCTATCAAAAAAAGTACGCAAGGTAACGCGACGAATATTCGGTCTCCTCTCCTACTCGGCCTTGAGCGTCGAGCGTGCTGGAATAAGACATGGATGTAATGATACATGATATCATATCGGCCTTGCGGCCGACCGCACCTGGAGGGTGAGCCTCCCTATCGGTCCCCCCATTGCTGGGGGGTTACACTCCCTACCCCACCCGGCAACTCCACCGCCAAAGGGGCCCGAAGGCCCAGGACGGGCTGGAAAAACCCGAATGCTCCGGACCGATCGTTCAAACCCCGGGGAGGCGCTTGCCGGGATAGGGCCTCCGCGACGCACTCCCCGAAGGGAGGCCGCTTGACCTCACCCGTTGCCCGCGGTGAACCTCGAGGAGGTCCCTCCCCTGCACCCGCGTGGTGCGAGCATTCGTGCAAGGCGCCAGCTGAGACGTAATGCTCCAGTGTGGTTTGGCGAGCTTTCCAGGCTAGGTCGGGTGGGAACCCGATCCATCGGCCGAGTTGACCCGGTAAATATAGGATCGGTTATCCCACCTATCGGCCCGTACTAGCTCGCCGGCCTTNGTCCCCCCCCCCCCACGTCGTTGCCTTTTGGAGACCGATGTAATGATACAAGAAAATATATTATCACTGCCTTCGGAAAGGATTCTGAGGCTTTGCAGGACGGAGGTTGGAAAATATGGAGACCTTGGGCGATCGCCCACCGGGTGCATCGTCACAATGCAAACAAGTTGTAGCGTATTTCGCGACGGTCGAACAGCCCCGCTACAGCCCAAAGTAAATTTAAATGGCCATTATTTCATTATATGAATTCCCTGACGAACGTTACACATTGTGGGTAGAGGCGAGGAGGGGGGTGAGTTATTCGGGAAGCGTTTCACACTCAGCCTCGGCGGTAGCACGTGGACGGAGGGCTGGTGCTGTAAGAGGACTGCATACTTGTGTCTCCCTCTATCCGCCCTGGAGGCCGTGTGTCCGAATGAGATGGCCTATTTGATGCTTTAACCGTCTCTTAGAGTAGTGACAGACTTATGCGTCCAGGCTTCGAGTCCTAACCAGATAACGCTTTCGCGCTGGCGTGGCCGGCACGGCTCGGCCGCCGACTTGTGGCTCGAGGGGCGTGGCGTTCTCGCTTGCTCTTACGGGTCGCATAGGCCCCGGGCTTCCACTACCGCTCTCAAGACTCCGGCCTCGGGCCTCCCACCCCCTGCGGTGAAGGTTTCAATGTCGGTATCCCGATAAGCGGATTACTGTCAACGTTTTCACGCCGGCGAAGAAGAATCTCTTTCAGCCCCGGCTTACGGCCTCGTTCCTTCCGGAACATCGTTCTCCCTTGCTCTCTCGCGGATCTTATGTCTCCCCATGGTGTTCTCGATCAGACTCGTTCACCCGCAGGCCTTATCGCCCCTTCCTTCCATGGCTCGCAAGGTGGATTGTCATTTTGCGACGACCGCGATCAAGTAATTGACAGAGGGAAAGGAGGATCGATTCCTTAGCGTGAACTGTCGTCCCGAATAAACTATGCCATCAACACGTAACTTTAAGCTTTCATCGTCCCTGCTTTATTAAGACATGCAAATTTATAAACCACGTCGAAACTGAAACATGATGAAATTTCAGAGTTCCGTGGTTTAAAGTAAAACAAGTCGGCATTGACATTAAAGCAAAATGATATGAAGAAGAATTTTGCAAAAAAACGTAAACTAAAATAAGCACAGTAAATAGAGGAAACACGATTGGAAATAAAATTTTATATTTCCGAAGGAATTGACATTCTTGCAATATGATATTATACGCAAACAAGTTGTAGCATGTTTAGCGACGGTTGAACAGACCCGTTACAGCCCAAAGTAAATTTAAATAGCCAATATTTCGTTATATGAATTTTCTGACAAACGTGACANATTGAATCACTAAGAAACTTGTTAACATTTAATAGAACATGTTCTATTATATTCTTTATAAAATTCTGTAAATTATTATTTAACAAAAACTACGTTAGGTGGTTCGGGAACGCTCCACAGTAATACTAAAATAATTTTCATTAATTGTTTTTGTTTATAAATATTTATTTTTTTTAGGAAATCCATTCCGCTCCTCGAGCGATTCTAATTCCGCGTTGCTCCCGACGCTGGTACGCTGCGCGGCCAGAGAGGGCAGTGCGGACTTGGAGAAGCCATCGATGGAGTCCAGTGTACAGGGGCTCACGTTCACCGTCGGACTCGTCATAGTATTTTAATATATTGTTTGAGTTATTCTGTATGTAATCATTTAATGAAAACTACGTTATGTGGGTCATGGACACTTGAGAATAATAGTTTATTTATTTTAATTAATTTTGTTTGTTTATAAACATTTATTTTTTTGGAAAATCTATTCTGCCGCTTGGGCGATTCAAATTCCGCGCAGCTCCGACCGCTAGTATGCTGCGCGGCCGGAGGGGCAGCAGGAAAGTCATTCATGCTCGCCAGTGCACATATATAGTGAAAGTGGTTCCATATTTTCCTTAAGATATAAACATCTAGTAACGTTTGAATCCAACGGTGACATTCTTGGTTGCAGCCACTGTATGATAGCGTTCATCTCGTTTGAAAACTGTTAGAGTAATATTCGTTGAATAAATTTTTCTTGTGAGATAGTAGATGTGAATCAGATGCGACAAGTGACAGTGGGAAGTATAGTATTGCGCGATAATTTTAATGTGCTACTAAAGAGTTGAATCATTTATCGAAGATATGATAAATATCTGTTTACGTATTGGATGTTGCCTTACTGACAGTATATGCATTTGCCAAAAAGGGATACAAAGCCATGGTATTCGTAATTATTGACAATACGGTTACGACCGAAAGTAGTCCGTGTCTTGCAGAACTTCTAGTTGAATTCTTCGATTAACTCAACAGACATCATGGTATACCATTTTATGAATCTGAATATTTGTTGTACAAGAAAGTTCACGTTAATATTATAAAGTAGTGACGAGTATCATGTATTCTTAGAGAGTTCGAAGAATATTTCATCTTTGACGAATATATGGGAAGAATAATTTACGAGATTTTAAGGTAAAATTTGCTTATTAATTCTTTGTTATTGAATCGTAACTTGCGGTTCTGCAATGCTTCATGTTTTGTTTTACTTTCTAATATTTCTTCATATCTAGTATAAATTTAATAATGTGTGTAATGAATGTAATGTAAATAATTGCTTACAGGCAGCAGTTTGATTTGATCGTAAACAATTAAGTGAATTAGATTGTAATAGTAGATTTCTTAGAGGAAGTATGTTATCTTGCAAAGGAATAAAGTAGTTTAAAAACTACCTTTTATTTTGCTTAATAATATCATAGTTTTTCATTATACTCACTTATCTTGAATTTTGCTGATTCGTGACTATATACCGGCAAATGTAAATGTATGTAAATAAGACATCAATTTAAGCTCTGATGAAATTTTGTTGAGTATCTATTCTGAATTGAATATGTAAAATATAAATAAAAATACACAAGTCTGCATAAAACATAAGTAACAAAAATATTTTAATTCTCGAATACTAAATAAGAACATTCCCATGACACTTCATTGTTAATACATAATGAAATTTAATCTGCTGTAGAATAGTTCTAATGTTCTTTATCACAACTGAATTCTTGGGAACACCAAATGAAAATCGTGTATTTTTTTAAGAGCATGATTTCATTTTGTTTACTTCTGTAGATCAGTCTTACTTCATTTTTTAAATGTACATAGGCTTATTTAAACCCTTCACTTACAATATCGTGTGAGAGACGTAGTACATCAATCAGGCCAAACGTGAACAAAATGTGTGAAAGACGTGGTATGTCAATCGGGCCAAACGTAAACAAAACGTATGACAGACATGTGAGAGTTTGAACGTTCAGCCAAACTGTGAAATGGCCCGAAGTATGACCGACAATTTTGTTGTTTATGGCACGCGCTATTGGAATTTAAATCGTAAGGCAAGGGGCTAAACATTCATTCCCTATAGAGGAATTGGGAAGATTTTTTATTAGATTTGTAGAAGATACCAAAGATGCAATAGTTTACTTTGTGTTTCAATTTTATTGGATGAACGAAGTGATTATTTTATTCTATGTTTCGCAGATTTCTCTTTGCTATGTCTTTTGTGCCAAAATGTACATTGTTTCTGACAATACTTTTTTACACATGTTATAACATGTTTGTTTTTATTAATGTCAAGTATTTAGTGAGTAAGGACATCAATTGGTAAATCTGAGCTCTTGGAAATATTGAATACTTCTGTTAATTTTATGTTCTTGTTAAAAACAAAGTACTATTACTCTATTGTAGAATGTGTGCTGAGAATATTGAAAACATTTCAAATTGTTTAGATATCTGAATTAGGCAAGAAAGTAAAGAATTGCCATCAAAGCTTTCTCATTTAGAGATAAATATATGATTACTAAGCTCTTTTGGCATTGGGTCAAATTCATGAATGTGTACATGTACTTATTGTTATTGGAATTATTACAATTTTAAGAATAATTACAGTGTATTTTTAATGCCATTCTCCAGAATCATACTATAACTTACTTATGTGCCTTAGTTATTGTAAATCCTAAAAATCATTGAAAAGTAATGAAAATGATTAATTTGTGTCGTTAATAATAAATATTTTGATACATAGGTATTGCTTTAGCAGGGTTATTAGGTTGTATATTTGCTTATTAGGTGCACTGGAACTTACATAGTGTGCCAGGTACTTTTGGATCGAAGTATCTCAATGATGTTTTCATCAGGTCTTGGCTGTAATCTTTCATTCCCCAGCTGTTTGGGATATCCACAAGATAGCGAGGAACTTATTCCTAAAATGGCACGTGAGCCTATTATTCTCAATGTTTATGATATGGTAAGAGCATTTATTACGTTTATATGCAATACAAACAAGTTACTGTTGTTATATTATGTTGTTGTCATAGTGAAAATGCTATGTCGTTTTTATGGTTTAATGTAAGCATTCTAATTTTTTACAGTATTGGATAAATGAATATACTACCCCCATTGGGCTGGGAGTCTTTCATTCAGGAGTTGAAATATATGGAACAGGTATGACAAGATTATAATGGTTTCAATGAATCCTTTATTATTATCTTTTTTCTGGAATAGAGTACGCCTACGGTGGCCATTCTCGTGCTAAATCAGGAATTTTCAAGATTACACCACGTGATGCAGAGGATTTGGGTGAACAGTTTAGATTTAGGTAAGATATGTAAAATAACTAGTATGTCTGATACTTCATTTGATAAAAATATATTTCAGAAACTGTTTTTTTTTTTTTTATTGTAAGTAACTTTGTGGGATTACAGGCAATCAGTTCACATTGGATACACAGACTTTACAGAAGAGGATGTGTCTAGAATTGTGTTTGAGTTAGGAAAAGACTTTAGAGGTGATCGTTACCACCTAATGAATAAAAACTGTAACCACTTCAGTAGCCAATTTACTCAGGTAAAGAGTTGTAACATTTATTGATGTTAATCATATAATTTCTCTTTATTTGCCTCTAACTGTAATAACCAGAAATTCTTAAGGCCCCAGTAGATGTGGGTTGGTTATTTCGATTTGATGACAGCCGACATTTTGCGAAACGAATGGCATTTTTCTGCAAAGACTAGCACTGAGAGGAACCAGATATTCCCAAAATATGTGATCTGCTGTTTTTGACAGTTCGTGCATTGGGAAGCGAGATATTACTTCCTGAAAATCAATCTGTTAAGGTTAGGACATGCTTACGATTCCAAGGAAATAATCCACAAGATAGATACAATATCATCACAAATGCGGACTAGGCACATTTTAAACAGTTAGTGATCATTTTGGTACTAATAACTTCACGTAAGAATAAATGGCTTACCAGAGTACCAGAGGGGAACTTTTCAATGTCCCAGATCTCATTTTTCACGCTTTGAGCTTGGGGCATTTACTCCTAGATGGCAAACTAAAACCAGTGGCATCACAGCTATCAATCATTTATTCGAATATTGTATTAATGAATACAGAAAAAAATATAAATTCATATTTTATTGAAAAAAGTTTCTTTAGTTCTGTTTTGAAATCATTCAGAAATGTTTAAAATTATGCATTTATAATTATAAAATGAACATTAATTTATTTTACATCAATTTAAATAAGTCAATTTAGTTCATCAAAGCCCAAACCAATACAAGATGATGTTGCCAGTGCCCCGTAATACTTCTTATAATTTCTTACCATGATATGGGCGAGGAGTTTAAAGACATTTGATATACGTTTGTGATCAATATGAGAAAATTGTACAGTTATTTGTTTAAATAACAGGGCATGTGTCTTCAACATTTAATGAAACTGATCTCTAAAAATTCAACATACATCATATAGAGCTTTGAAATACCCAGATTAATACAAATCATTGGTAATCTAGGTTGTAAAGTACTTGATTGTAGAATGGTACATTAATGGATCAATTTCCAAATAATGCATTATTTTCTTTTCCTTTGTACTCTTTTTGTCCAAATATATAAGAACAGGTTAGATCTTTCTGGATATTAACACTTTACCGAACGGCGAATTTGGAAGTAAATTGCGATCACGGGTATCGCAAAACCGATTAATCGGCTTCCAGTCGGTAAAGTATTAATGTAAGAGCAGTAGCAAGTAATAAAATTAATTTTTTCTTGTTATGCATGAGAAATGTTTAATTATTCCCATTTATTTCTAATTTAGTATTATTTTGACAAAACATATGAAACATAAAAAAATATATAGTCGAAATGAGAAATATACATTTGATTAAGTTAGATTACAAAGATTGATCGATTGACTTTTTCCTGGACTCTAACATATTTCATGCTGTGTTACCTGTCATTCACAGTAAACCGAATTCATAATTTTGTATGATGTACACTGAATTTTTAATGACCAATTTTTCGGAAACATTAAATGGGCATGTCCTATTATTTGGATAAATAGCTGTTAGTTTATATTGGACATTATAAGTTCATCCATTTTTATTCGGACTGCAGATATAAATATCTGACCCCCTCTTTATTAACCTTTTCGCTACGGCGGGCCTTGCCGCGGAATCCCTCCCGTAGAACGGGGCGCCGCGCCAAAAGTGTAACCATTGCGCATTTCAGTTCGTATGAAGATAGCGTTTTGTGGCCGGTGACTATAGTCACCCGTCGGGTATAAGTGGCGTTTTGTGGCGGGTGACTATAGTCACCCGTCGTAGCGAAAGGGTTAAACGACTCAAACGAGAGATTGTGGGTTACGAGAGAAATCCAGATCCTAGCAACTGATATTACTTCTACATGATAGTGACAGTTATGGATTACTAGCGCTGCAACACCGCTTTGCTTCAATTTGAATATTCACAAAAAAAATTTAATTTTGTAATTATAAACGCATTATTTTTACAATTTCTAAATGATTTCATCATAGAACGTAATTAAGAATACTTTTTTTCAATAAAGTATGGATTTATACTTCATTTTCTGCATTTATCAATATAATATTCGAATAATTGATTGGTGGCAATGACTGACGCCACTAGTTCTAATTTGCCATCTGGTCCCAATCTCAATGCGTGGAAATGAGCCGAATATTGGAAAATTCCCCTTCATTATTCCAGCAGGCCTTTTACATTTTCGTCAAGTTATTAGCGCCAAAATAATTATTGATGACATTGTGTTTATTAATGTATTATTGTTCCGAAATCGTGAGCCTTTCACTGTTTCTGCCAGGCTGATTTTCGAATTATAATTCGTTTTCTAGTACGTGATTAGTTGAAAATTGACCGGCGGTTAAATTTCATGAATATCAAACAACTCGGTTAAGTCTCGCCCCAAGTAACTGGTAAAATTGGCAGTTCAGCAGCGCGGCCGACCGAAGACTTTACTCAAGTCAATTCCTTCGCTGTAGGCATTCAATGAAAACCGAAAATGGCAGTTCGACGGCTACAAGTATTGTACTCGCATTAAAGTGATGTGATGAAACCCTTCTGAAATCAGTCAATTCGAATGAGACACGTTTTTTTTAAGGGTATATTTTATAAGGGTTTTTTTTTCAAGGGACCGAATTGTCTGAAACTTTGATACAAGACTTATGAGACTGTGAACCTGGGATCCCAGTTTGAGGCACAAACAAAATTAACAGGCTTATTGGAATGTTCCGTGATGTAGACGTTTGTGCCACTTTTTTTTACAAAAACCAGAGCTATTAAAATAAATAAATAAATTCTGAAAATGACCATTTTAACGTTTTTGAGGTTCTGGGAGGTTCTGAATTTTCCTAGCTATCAAGACCAACCTCTATCGGTTTAAAAAATTCTGAGTTCAAGTACTATCCCCAGGGTACGCCCATAAATTACGCCCCTCCTGTCGGAACCTTGAGCCACGGAAAAGTAATCATAAAAATAGTGAAAAGGAAGATTTTAACCTTTTCAAGGACTTTAATTTTATTCAGTGTCAAGGACTATTCCTATAGGTCCCTAAATTCTGAGCATAAGTACTCCCTGCGATTTACTTGTGTAAATTAATGCTAGCCACTGCGAGAAACCTACGCCATGGAAAAAAATCTTCAAAATAGTAATTTCACGTTTTCAAGGTTCTGGAAGGCTCTGAATTTCCCTAACGTCAGAGAACCCATTAGAGTCGAAAAATCCAAATTTCCACGACTTCGGAATTTCGTTATCTTTTTGAACAGCTCTGGTTTTGTAAAAATGATGCCACAAATAAAACTCAACATGGCACAAACGTCTACATCACGGAAACATTCCAATAAGCCTGTTAATTTTGTTTGTGCCTCAAAGTGGATTCCAGGTTCACACAGCCGACTCATGAGCATCTATGAATTATCCTGACACTTTCAAAATTTGATTTCCGAAACAAATTTTTTTGATGTAGCCTAAACCAGAACTAAAATGGTGTCGAAGTCTCATATTTCGATCAATTAACAACTATTGAAGGGTCTGATATGAGAAACGAAAGTGTCAGGACAATTCTACAACAATTTAGAACACTCTAATAATTGAGTAATTAGCATTTAAACGGGATAAAGGCAAAAAAAGTGTCTTATTTGCTCGTATGCTAAAATGATGCTAACACGAGGTCTCAGAAAGAAGATTTAATTGAAACTGACATCACAGATGGGGGAGGGTGGCACTGTGGATTCAATAAGGGCATTAAAAATCATGAGTCCAGGGAATTTCTGGAGTTTTACTTCGATTTGTTTATAATAATTGTACGGAAACAACATGTGGAGTATGCGATTTGATACAACACCCAATATAATTCAACACAGCTGTTGATATAAATACGAACGTCGGTAACATAGGTATTTAGAAGAATCTTGTATATCGACATCGATAAAATTTCTCGACGGGTTTCACTTCTCTTTAACTTTTTAAATCTTCTTTAAGGGAGTATTATTGTCTAGAAACTTCAGAAATTCGATTTTTTTTTCATTTTCTTATAGTTTGGGGTTCTGAGAATGTCTCGAAAATATTAATTTGAAATTCGTAGAACTTCCATAGTTATAGAGGCTTAAAGGCTGCGGTGCGTTGGGGCGCAGCAGGTAATCATTTCCTCGACCGTTGTACCTAGACCGTTGTGTCTATTGTGCGGCTCAATATCCTTTTTTTGAAGCTGAGGACGGTGGTTTGTATGGTCCCGGTAAAACTGATTAAAGTGTAAGTTACTTAAATCAGTTGTTATCCACCGTACGTGCTAAATGTATGGCAAACTTTAAACGCGTTTTTCTCGAAACATTTTTCAAGTCGGGCGGAGTTTTTCTCAAAAACTATTGGGCCGATTGACTACGGGTTTTGCACACATTTCGACGGAACCTTCACCACACAGTCCGAACTAGAATGATACCGATAGCTTGAATATTTTAGCCCCGCTCTCATGTTTTAGTAGAAAATTTGTAGGGAAAATGAAACCTTAATTTTCAAATAGCTGCGATTCCGACAAAAGATTTCATACTTTCTTAGTTCTAGTTCAGACGATAACTACATTTATTTAGATTTAAAAAAAATTTTGCTCTTCTGTTTCGGACGACTAGAATTGCCGCAACCCGTCCGCTCTATTGGACGAGCGTCTCACGCACCGACCTGCATAACAGCGGATAACTTGCATAGATTTCAATAAAGAATTTCATAAAAATTTGTGTTGCTAGTTGAAACATATCTTAACCGTTTTAGTGCCACGCAGCGCGATCGCGCTTTTCGCGTACTGTGGTGAACTGTGTCGCGATGTTTGGTCCCGATCGTCAATTTGCAACGTTATCGCGCTTCATGGCATAATCCGACACGGATTTTTAAGAACCCCTGGCACTAAAACGTTTAATATATGTCAAAAAACTCGGCACTGTAGGTTTGATAGTTTTCGCAAAATTAATTCCGAAAAATTATTTACAAAAGCTTCTAGACGATAATACCCCCGTAAAACAAGCATTTGACAAATGGTAACGAATTAAAAAATGATAATGATTACATTGATATCAATTGTAAGCATCTTGAGTTGGTTATCATAAAGATTAACTTATTAGTTATTGTAAATATTTTTACAACGATTCAACATAGGAGGTCAGTTTCAGTTCCGTTCGCTTCTTCGCACCACTATCGCCATTTTTTCCTGCCAGATAGCGTCAGTGGTGGTGCTAGTGTACGCTTTTTTATTTTTCATGACGGATGGTACCACGTTTTTTTTACAACTTACTGTCGATTTCATTACATGTTCTAAAATCAACTGATATGTCTGACATTATCACGATAAGGTTAGCGAACGTCCAGTGTTGATAATGTGGTAAATTTGTGATTGCTTTCTGCGTTTTGTTCTACAATCAACATTTTACAAATATTTGCTGAATATGAGGCAAGGACAATGTGTATCATATTTCATGATATAACCGTCATAATAATATCTGAATATTGCATTGTCATAATGAGATAGAGGTTAAGGTTTAATCTGTTATTTTTTAGGTAAGACATTTCACGGCGAGGAAAATGAAGAATTTGATATTCTATAAATTATTATCTGTGTAATTGTTATAAAATGTTGGATGAAATGACTCCATGCACAAGCCACAAGTAGTTAACATTAACCGTACCGACAATTTATAACCCCATTACCAAGACGTTTAAGAACGGTCATTTGATCAGCCACTGGTATGGTTAATGTTAAAAATTTAGTTCTAATCAGAGATGGATAGTAGATCGGCGTCGATGCTAATCATATTTATCGTTGGCAGAATTACCTTAGTCAACTCATGGTTTTTTTTTTATTGGTTTATTTGTTGATATCTTCACATTTCAGTCTAAAGATACAATACCACATGCTGAGTATTATCTCATGGCAGAGCTTCAGATGGAAATGTTTAATCCTACTTAATGTTTGTTAATTTGGTGGAAGAAAAAGATAGAGAATGGAGCGTGGTTAAAGCCACAGGACTATGGCTTATATATGAATGCATTCTAATTATTTACCATTAAAAACAACTAATGTACCACTGGTGCTACACTGTGGCTCCGTGTATGGTCTTTAATCTTCAGCTTTAAATTTGACGGCATCAATAAGTGTATGCTAATACAAAAATATGAGTGTGATAACTTTGTTAACAATGAAGAGTCGATACATGGTTGATATTGACTTAATTTCAATCGAATATCCATTTCTTATAAGAAGTAAACTGAAATACTTAAGTTATGTACATTCAGTAGTCACATTCAACATTTATTATTATTTGTTTTGCAGAAAATAATTTCTTAATGTTTTAAACATGGAATTTTTCATTCTCACTGTCGTGAAATGTGTAACGTGAAAGGTGACAGCATAAATCTTTACTTTTATACTACTATGACATTACAATGTTGACATCACAATGTTATTTATTTATGAAGCATAGTATATGTTGTTATTATTCTATATTTATAACACTGGAAAAAATCACCACCATCACGGTCTACACCGATAGTGGGCGACTGATAGCCCTACCATTGGCCTTTTAAAAATGACAGCTGACAAATCAGATCTGATTTTTTAACGGGTGATGAAATCGTTTAAAGAAGAAATATGATTTGCTAACAAATATTAGTGCGAAAATAATGACAAACTCGAAATTAAGTCAGAGCCTACGGTATTTGAATATTGGTTGTTTTATTGAAATAATTGAAATAAATAGGAAAAGGTAGAAAATGGTATTTTTTGGAAAACAAAAACTTGTGAACTCTACTGCAAAATACGTTCGTGTACAAAAATCTCGTCAAGTACAGGGATGCTGGGAATTTCCCTTAAAAAAAAAAAAAAATATTTAAATTCCATATTCTTCCTCTGCAGATAAAAAGTATTCAAATCATATCACAAGTCCAAGTCGGTAGATACTTGCTACTTATATGATCTGGTATTAGTTTCTCATTCTTTCTTCATTTACAAACGTTGAAACCTTCAATAGTTTTATTTTATTACTGCTAAGTACATTTAAGAATAATTGTCATTTACTACTATGTATAACTTTAAGTATGTGCTTATTAAGTACTACATTGCGGATTCGTGTTTTCTTGAAAACAAAGTTTTTTCCATTTGTTTAATATTCAGCCTTTCATAGGATTCTCTTTAAAAGTACAGCATTCACATTGTCTTTAAATCTTAGTAACATGACTGCAAATTGCGACAAATGGATAGAATGAAGATAAATTAATTGTTAAGAGCAAGCGAAACTGAAAAGACTGGAAGACTGTAAAATAATAACATACAATCAATTTCTTAACCATCTCATAATCAGTCTTCAATATCAGTATTGTGAAATTTTTAGTATGGACCTGCTCACAATAAGTAGTACTCCATAAGAAATCACTTAAGGTTATACATAATAATAAATGACAATTTGTTACTTGAATGTAATTAGCAGTAATAACTTAAAACTAGGGAAGGTATTAAAGTTGGTAAACGAGAAAAGTGATAAACTAAGATCAGATCATATAAGAAGCAGATACCTACCGGCTTATGCACTTGGTTTTGTAATATGATTTAAGTACTTTTTATACGCAGAATCATAAAGTAGAATCAGAATAAATTTTTTTTTTTTTTTCAAAAGGGAGAATCCGCAACATCCCTGGACCTGGCGAGATTTTTTTTACCCGAACGTGTTTTCGTAAGGGTCTAGTTTCTTCCAGGCTTAGTTTATGTTGGTAAATGCAATTCGTTTTACACGCTAGTGGTTGGGAATTGTACGTGATTTCCTCGCCTTTGACGTCATCAATTCAAAATGGCTAACAAAGAGAGTCAGGCATTCAAGTTTTCAGTTCAAATAAAAGTTGATGAGCTCATAATACTCAATGCAGATTACCAAATATTTATTCAAATAATAGGAATCTCTAATTATACAATCCTGAAATGATTTGTTATTGAAAATGTAGCGTTCACCATATAAATGTATAAAATATTCATATACTATAAATGTAAAGTTAATGCCAAGGACACTAAGTTACGAGGAAAAGTCCACAAGTTTATTTTTGGATTATGTATTTTTTTCGATTAGACATTTTTTTGTTTCGTATGCTTTATAACAACACTGCGATGTTAAAAATAAGTGAGATCAGTTACAATTTTTAATTATTCCTATTTATACTTTGTATACAACAGGAACGAATTAAAAAAAATTATTTAAATAATTATTTATCTGTGTTGAGAACAACAATTCCATTAAATTTTATTTAATCCAGAGACTTGAACGTCTGTTTCTGCTCTTGTTAAATATTTGAACACACATCGAGCATGGACATGTGCGAATGTATTTAAATCCTGCACCCATTGAACAGTAAGATGAATTAAGAATCATGTTGGCAAAATTGGACAAAACTACATTGTTAGTATCCCCATATTTAAGAATCAACAGAATCCATTACGGTTCGCACATTTTACATAAATGGAGCAAAGATCACTAACGATTTTCTGGCGACGTCTACTAAGGCCTTAACAACTTTGCTCAGTTAACCCACTTTTTGCAAAATGAAAGAAAATGAATTAGCTTTTTTATACTTATCTCGTACCTACTTTAATCATACGTTTGGAACGAACAAAACTCTAGCCAATCTTACCAAAATCAATAACACAGTTCATATTAATTGTTAAGTATACACAGCAATCTTAAATTCAAACGTCCAATGAAGCTGTACCAACATAAATTCCATCAAAATTGTTTTCATAAATTTTATACTAAATCTAAAGTAATTAATTTACTTAAAAAGTTCAGTACTAGTGTTATTGATTCTCTTTCGATGTTACAAAGTGTAGTTGTGAATTACTTCTCTATTTATTCTTTAGTAAACATCATCGCATCATTGCAAATGTTTATGCACGTTACGCATGTTAAAAAATACCATATAATTTATACGCTCGAATCTGAAGAATTGGGTCAAGTATTTTGCTCCTTTATGTTATTTAAAGTATTTGTTATAAGTCACAGGATTTAACGTTTTCTATTCCTTAAACAAAATTGTATCTCGAATCGCGAATCCTGTTTTATTGTCTGAACATTGATTTCAGATCTTATGTGGACAGGAGATACCTGGTTGGGTAAATCGTTTGGCATACTTTAGCTCATGCGTTCCATTTCTGCAACGCTGCTTACCGAAGGAGTGGTTAACTCCTGACGCGCTCCAACAGTCTCTCGACCAAGACAGCCATCGAGAAAGTACACCGCCCTCGGATACGTCTTTGTAACATTTAGCCAATTCTGTCGACGACGATACTACTGTTTCGAAATGTCGTAGGAGCCACACTTTTTAGCATGTTATACTCCGTGTAAAAAAGATTTAATATGTGAAATAGGAAAAATTACCAGAGTTTCGGAGGTAGAACAGATGGAAACCGCATGGGCTACCATGAAGTGCCGGCATACGGAAGGATGCAAAACTAGAAGACCGGTGTTGCAAGGCCGTTTATGCTACAACTACTGCAACCGAGAGAATTGTCATTTTATAATACTGTTTTTCAAACAGTAGACAATTATGTACATGTATACATATGTGAAGAAAATGTTGGAAACCGGACTGGAGTTATTCGGTCTGTTATCCATTGCATAGCCTAATATTAATCAAAGTCACTAAGGAGACTGACACATATATGTCGATCAAAGGCAGCTAAGGGAATCCATCGGCTGAATGAATTAGGCTCCTCTGGCTTAGAAAATTGACCACACAAGTCTTGCGTCTTCGAGGGATGCATTTATTCAATACTGTTACACGTGACACTTCTACCTTTGGCATCACGTCAATGGTTTCGCAATAAATTAGGTGAATTATACAAACGTCCATCACTACACATATTTAGTACAACGCATCGGGTCTTAGAAAAATTCCTGTGATTGCGATTTGAAAGTTTCATATTTTGATCGTTTTACAATGTTAATGACGTGAGAGATATCTTTTTTATGTTCAGAAACAAATTTAAGAGTATGTTGCGTTTATACTGTTGTCGCCCTTATTAAAATCTTCTTCGCCATTGATACGTTCGACGTACCATTAATTAAACTCGAAATAAATGACAAATTTCGTCGAACTCGAGCATTAGCACAATTTACGTCGATTGTTGCAAACTATTCTTCGATAATACCACCATGATGAAATAAGTTTCGAATTACAGTAAAGATTATATGTATTTTCTTAAACACAACTAACGTTATAAATGTACCTCGTTACTGGAAACTACATCAGGTGCTTAGCCAAATTATGAGAAAATTATACACATAATTTATTTAAAGTAACCGGAGGAAGCAAATTCGTTTGTGATTTCAAATTCATTGTTTATAATATGTAATTTAAAGCCTGCATTTGATGGTCATTATTAAATTGTTGAATTTCAAATATACCCTCATAGTGATTTCGGATTTGCATGTAGCATACAATTGATGATTGAATCTTAGTGATCGTGTTCATCTGAAACTAGTTTGTTACTATTATACATGTAACTATTTCCAACAAATTGTCTGTAATAATAAAAAAAGGAAACATGGAAGAACACGTAAAGAACACGTAAGATGTCTGGTAGGAAATACACTACTCATTTCCATTCATTTTAACTTTTGTAGAATTGCAAATTTAAGATATTTTCCTACATTAAAATTTCATAACATCTGAAATGTAACTGTAAGATTGATGTAAATCATAAATACATTTCTCTTACATTGTTGTGGGAAATGCAAAAGATGAACTGTCAATTTACTTATGTGTAAAAGTACAGAATCATTTTTTGCTTTTGCGTACATGGTATATATATAATTAAAACCTAATACAGTTGTATATAAACGTTTCATACAGAACTCTTATTAGAATTACTTGTTAGTTTTTGAATAAAGAAACATACTCTACTGTTTAGTAACATCTTTTCTGGGGTAACGAAAATGACAATTATTTTATAAGGATGCAGTATTGGTAAAACATGCAAAATCCGCATGTATTTACACTGGCGGATAACGGATAGCGGATCCTTTTCACCGCAATGACTGCCAGTGTAGGAAATGAAGATATTCTTGTCCGTTAATGTACATAAAAGTCGAGTGCTCAATTTTAAAGAATACACCCGGTAATGTATAAGCTTAGTAATAATCTATTTGAAGTCGATGACGTACCAGGGGTCAACTTGTAATGCGATAAAGTAAACGAAAAATGTTTACAACTAGGGCAGTTGAATTTTGAGGATAAAGGAGACTGATTACTTTTGTATTATCCGTAAAGATAATCCCGGGTTGTGTTCAGACAAGTGCTTCAGCGATTATAACAAATGTAAGTGATATCTTTTATTGACGTGAATATTTTAATTAACTTTCTACTTTTGTATCCTCTTCCCAGTTTTTTTTTTTCTTTGAATATAACAAGGACAATAATATTTTATTGAGAATCTAATTTTATAAAAAATTGATGTTTTTGAAATAAATGTTATGATCATGTTTTATTGTGTTTATACTTGTAAAGTTGACTGGTTCTGCTTTTTGGATAAACGTTATAACTGGTTTTTCTTTATTTAATAGTACACTGTGAAAAGATTAAAACAATTTTTATACGGTACTTTGTGTCAATTTTAATAAGGAATATTGTGTATATTTTTTACCCATATATTAAGATCAAAGACACCTCGCGTAACAGTGGTTGTAAGCATTACAGTAAAAATTCGCCAATCAAGTTGCAAAAGATTTAATATGGCATCGATGTCGGCAATTTGGTTAATTTTTACTAATATACCACGGCGGCGATCTTACGCTCGCAACTGCGATTCCCAAGACCAATTTCCCGTCGACAAACCTGCGCCTTTTTTTACACGAAATGTAGATCGGGTAGCGGACTCGCTTCCCCGATCTCAAAGGGCGTCAGCCGGGTTTCACAGCTCGACCTGGTATTTCCTGCCTTCCCCCGTCCGTCTGGCTAGCTACCAACTAGTCGGAGAGGCGTGACTTTTGGCCACGAAGGAACTGGAATAGCTGTAAGCTACTAAAATAAAAGAAACGCACCATGCTGAACAAAACTGCTTTAATACAAAAGGGAAACTCGAAGTACAAAAGCGAGAACCTCGCACGCATGCGCAGTAGTCCCTCGCTCGGGAAACCCCAAGTCCTACCTTTACAAGGCGGCGCGAATAGCGAAACGAGGAAACTGCTAACGGCCTGAACGGACTCCTTAAAAGCCGCGACTCATCGCCCTCAGACCTTGCTACTCCTCTCGGTCGCGCAACCTACCTCAGGCCCACGGTTCCGGCCGTCTCTGCATGGTGACCTCGGGATGGGCCTCGCCGTTGTCTCTGCAAGTCGGATTCACACACGGACATCACTCCACTAACTCCGAGTGCGAAACGACCCGTTCCGCGATGCCTAGGTGGATCTTGTCTAAAACTTAGCGAACCCTCGATCACCGCTTAACAGTCGTGCGTGAGCTCGATGCAGATTGGGGGGTCGGTTCGCAACGGTTCCCCGCCAAGATCCCCCCCCCCCCGTTATCGCGCCCACTCCCTTTTGGACCCTACAATGTCACGGAGTCTCGTGTGAGTTCAGTAAAAGGACCTCAGATTCGCTTTCAGGGTGCTAGCTTCTCGCAAGGCCCCCTTACCGGCCGCGGACTGGGTGGTAGCCGCTTCACGGAGCACCGACGTCAGGGCGAGACTCGCATCCGTTCTGCTCCGCCCTCCTCTTCGTTCCTAAGGACCCTGGCCTTTTAGACGCGCCGCAGTCGGTCCGGTCGACTCCTGTATTCCAATAGGAGTCCGAAAGGGTCTATATTTCTCAAAAGAGCGATCTGAGGACTCCCTTCGGTACGGTGCTTCCGCCTTGAGCTCTAAAGATCCGCTGTGGCCCTGTGTGACTTTTCCCGTACCTCGAACGTTCTCATCCCGGAAACGGCGCACTGCTTTGGAACGTAGAGGAGGTTTCACGATCTGCTGCGTTATAATAGTTCGAGCCACTGTTAGGTGAGGCATTTGTGACGAACTTTACGGGACAACTAAAAACATTGCAGTCGGGTGTAAAAGGCAATAGTTACTTTTGTTTTTAAAGGGATAGTACAGTTGAAGAACTTTCAAAAAACAGTTCTTTCATTTATTCATATAAAGCCATCTTTTATACATAATTTCTAATTTGGTCATTGTAAATATTCGAAAATTGAACATAGAGGGGAAGTCCACACGGAGGAATAACGGCCAGCGAAAGGAATTCTACAACAGATCTATCTCTCACACACTCACAGGATCAGTGCGCCAGTTTCCGTGAACACACCCCCTATACTTATCATTTCCTTGCTCTTAATTTGGGGTAGTAATGCGCCCTCCTTTCCTCCACAAAAAAAACCGGAAATCCCACCCTGTTATATATCGCATTCATACTTTTACGGCATAAACCGGATGGGTTATCTGCGTTCTTTTGCATGTGCACACTGGCCTTCGTCGATGGTTTCCTCCTGTCCGTACTGCCCTCTCAGGCCGCGCAGCGTACTAGAGGCGGGAGCAGTGCGGAATTTGAATCGCTCGAGGGGCAGAAAGGATTTCCTAAAGAAAATAAATATTTATAAACAAAAACAGTTAATGAAAATGATTTAAGTATTATTGTGGAGTGTCCCTGACCCACCTAACGTAGTTTTTGTTAAATGATAACTTACAGCATTTTTTAAAGAATATCATAAAACATGTTTTATTAAATGTTAACAAGTTTTTTAGCGATTAAATTGTTTCATCCACTGAACTGAAGTCAGTATATTATCTTAGCTTAAAAAAAATAGTTTCTAAATATATATACAGTGAAATACAGTAGTAAAATTTACGATGGATCAACTTTCGGACATAGAAACGAAATCGCGATTTCATGTGTCTCTTATATATTTACGTTCTACACCATTCTTCGGATTCCTCAAATAAACGGACACCTGTAAATCATTAAACGAGCATGTAAATGAGTAGCAGTAAACATAAGAAAGACTTTTCTTATCCTAGTTTTTTATAAACGCATATCGGAGTAACTTTTATGAATTGAATTCATTCGAAATAGGTATCCAATAAGTAAAACACCATTTCTATTTCGTATTTGAAATGAGAACAATAAACTATCATGGATTTCCAATTTTAAATAGATTTTGAATCTATTTCCATTTGAAATTAAATACTTCTAGAGAAATGAGAACATTAGAAAATAATCGATCAGAATGATACTTGTTCTATCAACTGAATCAACTCTCGAAGAAGTTAAACAACACGCGTAACTCGAAACAGCCACATTTGCAAATACTGGTGAAATTAAGGTGAAGTGAAACACGTCGAGGAACTTGATCAACGTCGATAAAGAAGATTTTTCTAAATGCCTACGTTGCCGACGTTCGTTTTTATATTGACAGTTGGGTCGAATTATATTGTGTATTGTACCAAATGACATATTCCACCTGTCGTTTTCGTACAATAATTATAAAGAAATCGAGGTAAAACTCCAGAAATCCTCTGGATTCATGTCTTCTGGGGCTCTAATTGACTGCAGAGGGACCCCCTGCGCCATCTGTGATTTCCAGGTCAATTAAACTTTCACTCCAAGACCTCGTATTACCATCGTTTTAGCAAAGAAGCGCATACAACATTTTTTTGCCTTTATCCCATTCAAATGCGAGTTTATCGATTACCAAAATATTCTAAATTGTGGTAAAATTGTCCTGACCCTCTCGATTCTCATATCAGAGCCTTCGATAATTGTATATTGATCGAAATATGAGAGTTCGACGCCATTTTGGTTCTGGTCTGGACTGTTAAAACATTTTTTTGATAAATCCAAATTTTTAATGTGTCAGGACAATTCTTAGATGATCAGGAGTAATGTGTCAAAGTTTCGGACAGTTTGGTCTAATATCCTTAAAAAAAAGTGTTGTATTCGAATCGACTGATTTGAAGGATGTTTCACTTCACCTTAAATTGTTTACTTGCATTTTAAATACAAATACAAGTCATAAATTTACGTGCCCGAAAAAGGCATGGTTACAACGAATGGTTATCATTACGACTAGATGGCACAGTTCATTCGAGACGACATTTCTGGTGGAGGAATTGATCCTCCATTCCCTCTGTTAATTACTTGATCGCGGTCGCTGCAAAATGACAATCCGCCTTGCGAGCCGCGGAAGGAAGGGGCGATAAGGCCCGAGGGTGAACGGAGGCATAAGATCCGCGAGAGAGCAACGGAGAACGCCGCTCCGGATGGGACGAGACCGCACCCCGGGGTAGAGAGAGAGTCTTCCTCGTCGGCGTGTAGACATCGATGTTAATCCGATTATCGGGAGCCGATACCGAGACCCTCACAACAGGGAGTGGAAGTCCCGAGACAGGAGTTTCAAGAGTGGTAGAGAAAGCCCGGTGGGCTTTGCGACCCGTAGGAATAAGACAGAACGCCACGTCTAGGACCGTCGAGCCCTGAGCCGGCGGACGAGCCTAGCTAACCTCGACGAAGGGAAATTTATTTTTGGTCCCCTCCTTCCCTTTTTCGTCTATGTGTCACGTTGTCAGAAAATTCATATAACGAAATATTGGCCATTTGAATTTACTTTTGGGCTGTAACGGGGCTGTTCGACCGTCGCGAAATATGCTACAACTTGTTTGCATATAATATATTGCAAGAATGTCAATTCCTTCGGCAATATAAAATTTTATTTCTAATCGTGTTCCCTCTGTATACTGTGCTTATTGTAGTTTACGTTATTTGCCAAATTTCTCTGTATATCATTTTGCTTTAGTGTCAATGCCTTCAATTTGTTTTATTTTAAACCACGGAACTCTGAAATTTCATCATTTTTCAGTTTCCACATGGTTTATAAAGTTGCATGTCTTCATAAAGCAGGGACGACGAAAGGCTAAAGT